AATCTGATGTAGACTTTGTCGGTTTGGTCTGAGGATCAACTGAGCTAAGGTTTATGCTTCATGTGCCCAGTGCAGAAGTTGGCTGGTGATCAGCAGAATCTACCACTGGACTGGTTGGCAGATCAGACTTCTCCACCTTCTAAACTCAATGTTGGGTACCAAACAGTCTCACCTGAACGGACTCCAGGCTCAAAGACTCAAGTCTTTTGCAGACACAGAAATTGCATGAGCTTGCTGTAGAGTCTCAGATGTGAGAAATATACATATAATTCACCATTTCTAGCCATTTGCATACAATTGGGCTGAGCAAGAGGAGTCAATTCCATGAAAAGAAATACCTGGTAGTAAACAGATTTCTGAACTAGCCAAGAGAGCAGACAGAAAATGTCAATATCCAAGAAGCAAAGAGACAGCCTATCTTCTTGCCGATCTATCCTGGACAAGGACAGCAACCATGGTGACACAAGGATATCCATGGAGTTTCAGAGTGCTGAAGACTTCATGACAGTTAGAATCACAATTAGATACTGGATTCTTAGAGGGGCAGAGTTTTCAGTACTTACATAGGATAAAGAGGTAACATTTAAAACGTGTATCCCTGGAGGGATGAGCTACTAGTAAATTAATTATCTTCTTTGCCTCTCTCTGCCTCTCTACACCATTTATTGTAGCGTTGGCATCCCACTTCCACTGCTAATTTTCTTCTTGAGCTTTGTCCTCAATCTCTGCTGGTACAATGCAATATCAGTAGCAGGGAAAAAGGGGGCGAAGAAGAAAGGATAACTGAAAATTTCCCAGGGATCTATATTAGGGAACTAACCTCAGATACGGTTGGCACAGGAGGTGCTGGAGTATGCTGGAGAGATACTGATCTTGGAGTCCTATGGCCATGGTTCAAGCCCCAGCTCTATTACTTACTCACTGGAGACCCTGGCTGCTCTCTTAACCTCCATGAGCTGTAGTTATTTAATTTGCAAAATGAAGAGAAGAGTCACTGCACTGCAGCCTCCCAGGGCTTGTTGTAAGGGTCAAACGAGACAAAGATTGTGACCAGTGCTATAGAGAGCTAAATAAATGCATGTTATCCCTGGTGTGTCTCTTAAGCTTATCACACTGAAGACCCTCATCCCTCCAGCAAACTGTTCCCAATTACTGCCCACTCCAAGTCATCTGGACAGTGTCTGACTCATTCCCCACCCCTATCTGCTTGAAGGGGCTTTATGGTCACTGCCTTCATATGCCATTTCATTTGCTGTATCAATCTGCCCCTCCATTCATTTTACAAACATTTGCTGAATGCCTAGTATGCCTCACACAGTGTGCTATGTGCTGGGGATAGATATAAATAAACTGTGGTCCCTGCTGTTCTGTAGGAATAGTTAATCTCAGAAATCTTACCTACTCTCCTATTAGAAGAGTCATGATAAATCTCAAATATACCTCTTCTGATCCTGAGTTACACCTTAGCTCTATAGGACCTGTGTAATGTCTGTGCTTTCCTTATCCCTAAACCTAGCAAGACTAATGCTTTCCTATCCTAGCAGCACAGGATCCTAATTCCATTGGCCAGTGGATTACTAGCCAGGCCTTCAACGTTTCCCCAAACTCAAAAATGTAGGTGATATCCTTTTAATCCTTCCTCTTTCAAGGCGTTAAGATTAATCCTCCCAATTCCCTTGGATAGTATCTCCTGGAGGAACCTTCTCCCTCTCCACAGGTAGACCTACAGCCCACTCATGTCCCAGCTTTTGAGTGATGGCAGTAACCTATTCCCTGCTAATCTGGCTCCTCCACATCAGTCCATCCCATACAGGGTTGATTTTCCTACCTGACTAATCTGACTCCACAGCACCACTTCTCTCTTGCTCTGGATTTTCTTAAAACCTAGGTCCACAGTCTAGGTCACATTATCATACATACTCACATGGTGCTTTAAAATTATCCCCTCCATGGCCAAGATGTGCCTTGGGTATCAGTGATAATTTTTTAACAAACAGAGCTTCTTCTCTCACAGAAGACTTAGAAATTAATCCCATCAGATATGTGGCAAAGGCTACCTTATAAAACAGCAAAGGACAGGCTCCGAGGTTAGTGACAGAGCATGTCTGAGTTCCTCACATTGCAGAAGCAGGGAGCAACAAAACCAGGACCCTGTGGGGTTGCTCTCCCTTCTGCTAATGGCACTTGGTTGGCAGAGGTGATGAGATTCTAACATCCTCAAATGGATGGAAAATAAATAAACACCTTTTTCTCTCTCTCTCTAAACAGACAAGTTGCAGCTCGGAAATTTTTCAGTTCTCATTGCAAAATCAATACCCATCAGCAGTTTGAAATTAAAGGCAAGATTAGGCCTCAGTTTTATACATGCCTTATTGTATTCCAAAAGCTTTCTACTCAGTCAGATAAGTCTTCTTTAAGAGGATTAGGAAACTTTCATTATCTTTATCAAACCTGAACTAACACTAAGTCTGAAAAATTAATCTATAGACTGGACAAAAGCTGATAGGTGCTGGGAAGAAGGAGGACTCTTAGACTTCTTTCTAATTGAGCAGTAGGGTCTCTGCTTCTACCCACTAGAAATTCAACTGGTCTCCAAACAAAGAACAAGTTGCCCCATTGTTAACCAAGACAGAAGAGAATGTAGCTCCCTGTGGGCCTTCCTTTTACCTCTCAATAAATGGAAAGATCCATCTGCTAAGTGTTCCACGGGAAGGTTGTCTCCTTTTACCTCCGCCTTCCCTGCATTGGATTTCACAGGCCACCTCAGCCACCCAGAGCTACAACAGTCACTTGGTCTGAAATGTGGAGACTGTGAGGAACTGACCTCTGAAATTGAAGTCATTTCACTGCTCTGCTCTTGCCTGTTCTCAGACTCTTTCTGACCCAAACCTATGAGGCCCACAGGGAGACACCACTGGCTTCCATATCCAGCCCAAGGAATTGTTCCATGGGCCTTATGAAGTGCATTATCCCCGAAGCTCCGGATCACTAGCCCTTTATGGCCTATATTGACTTGGACATGCTTACACAATCTGTCTTATTTCCTAAAAAGTGATAGCCTTGTTCTGTTTGAGTCTGTTTCTGTAGAGTGCCTGACAGTTCTTTTTTATTTCAGTGCTGCATTTCCTGAATTTGAAGATAACTTTGCTGTCAAGGCCACGAAGGTGCCACGGAGGCGTCACTTCCAACACTGAGAATTTCAGCTCCTCTGGAGCCAAGCCCAGGTGGCAGGCGGGGTAGTGAGAATTCACACTCCCTTGTTTTCTGCACCCCCAGGAACTTTCAACAGACATTCCAGCTCATCTCAGATAACTGATCTCACCAAGCACCACTACCAGCCTCTGAGAAAAAGCATCAGACATGACAGTTGTCTTGATCTCCAGATGGCAGGCCATCTTGTAGCTCCAAAGCAGTGATTATTACCAAGCCATGCCCCTCGGTGGGACAGGTATGGAGAATGGAAACAGCTGAGTGTACAGATATCTGTCGAATGCAGGCTGATGTGGGCATCTGAAAGCCCTCGGGGAGGAGAGAAGGGCTGGAAGGCTGAACTCAGATTGGGCTTCAAGCAATATGGCAGCACCAGGGCCTGCTGCGGAACAGAGCTGCAGCGGACTGATCTCTGGTCCTGCACATGCTGTAACAAACGGCCCACAGAGCCGGAGACCTAGCAAAGAGCTGTGCTAGCCAAAAGAAAGCGATGGCCCCCCTGAATTCTACAAGTGACAGAAGTGTGAGAAGACACTAACCTCTACTTAAACTCTCCATGAAACCAACTGAAATGAGCAAAATTATATTCTTTAGTAAAGCGAAGGTGAGGACATCCACATTAGCTAAGCCAAGATGCCGCACACATTTCACAAACTGAAAAAAAATTGTTGAGCCTACTGCAGATGCGATCTGATAAAAGGCACTTATTAAGACTGAATCACACCCAGGGACTCCTTCTGAGAGCTCCGTGTGTGACTCCAACAGGTCAGTGTAGGAGATTCTGAGAAAGGTCCACCCAAACCTCTCTTTAGAGGAGGAAGCTATGGCACTGGGCGATGGGAAGTAGTCTCCCTAGCCTTCATTGCTACCATGAGTCAATACCTGACAGAAACTGCTTTACATAGTGATGGCGGGGGCAGGGGGGTGATGTTAGTTGGGGGCAGCTTAAAATAAGTTCATTTGTATTGCTGCCTTGTTTTAAAATGGCTCCCAAATTCTCATAGCTGCTATTTGAATGTGTTTTTTAATTCTTAATATTTAATAGTTGATAACTGGGAATCTGACATTTCTTCAGCCTTATTTTTTTCCTACATTGTGAAATTCTAATGAAAAACTATTGAATAATATGCTTGGGTATACTGACACAGATTTTTAAAGGGAGAATGAGGGAGGATGTTAGAGAAACCTCCTCTTTTAAAAAATTATATAGATATATTTCTGACATAGACCTGGAGATAGTGTTTTGACTAATGTCCTTCTTAATCTCAGCTCCATTGTAGGCTAAAGGGATGCACAGACCCAGGCTTCATACCAGGGAGGACTTGACCCAGGTCCCAGAACCCCTTCTGGAACATGCATACCCAACAACCATGCAAAAGCCCGTCACAAGGCACATAACTTCACATCGATGTTATTAACCTCTTATTATGAAATAATCCTATGAAAGGTAATTAAAAGGCACAGAGAATAGTAATATCTCTATTTTTTAGTATGTCTTGCCCAACTCCAAAGTGCTAAGTAACTTAACAGTTCAACCAGCACACGCCAAACAACTTATTTTAATAAGAACAGAAGGACCAGAGATAAAATTGAGAAACTGTGAAGATATTCAGTACTTAGTCAAGAACCCAGCAGATGGGAAGGAATCCAAAACATAACACTCAACCTTGGGGTTCCATAGAGGAAAACGTTTTTCATGTCTTCATACATGAGTAGAAACAAAGACTGAGATTATGCCTCCCTTCCATCATCGACAGGACCACTAACCCCCAGATCCAGCTGTGACTCACCTTGCACTATGAGGTGGACCCGGGAAGTTTTAGGGTGGTTGTCTGTCTGCACAGAGCAGGTGTATGGGCCCTCATCATATACATCCACATTCTGGATCATGATGCTGTACTGGGTTGGTGTGTTGACCAGGATGATCACACGAGGGTCTATGGACCATTTGTCATTCCCAGCATAGAGGATGGTGCTGCGGTTTAGCCAGGCCACACGGGTGACTCGGTCATCTATGGTACACCTGTAAGTGAGGGGTGTGGGGAGAGGAGAGGGAAGATGTGGGGGAAGGGGGGAGGAAAACGGGGAGGGAAACATTAAGGAACGGAGGTGGGGGAGAGAGGAAGAGAGTGTTGAGAGACTGCATTATAAATGTGGCTGCTGTATTTTGAGGACTAAATAAAACAACATAACACAATGCTAAAAGGAAACAATCAATTATTGATGAAACTTCCTAAATATAGGGTAACAGTGGCCTGAATCATCCTGAAGAACCAATGATACAAAATCATCTCTATTTTATTTAGGAGCATATTATGTGAATATCTTTGCTGTATATTTGCTTTCCATCTTTTTTTCCCCCACAGGCTTATATGAAAATTAGTTTATATTTCTTGAGCACATTTACCACCTTGTGGGAGAGGTGGCCCAGGGGCATAAGGGTGAGAAAAGTGGATCAGTATTTCAAATGGGTCACAGATAATCCACAAAGCAAATACCTAACCTGTTGTTAGTCAAAAAGTGAACATATTTACCTCCAGCCTTCCCTGGTATTGATAAACTCCTTGTACCCTTAAGCTACCCAAAGCCTGCAAACTACAATTTATAACACAGATTGATAAAATTCACCTTTGAAAGCCAACAATTTTTGAGGAAGCCATGGCTACCTCTGAAGATGTCAGCAGAAGGAAGAAGAAAGTGGTCAGGCAGCATTCCTTTCCCCTCTTACCGCCACCACCCCTTCATGAGAACAATATGGCTGATGTCACCTCAGTCATCATCATGGTAAAGAGCTAACCTCTACCCCCTCATACCTCACATCCACTCTTCCCTACAACTGGAAGCTATGAATGCAAGTAGAATTTGTTTTTTGGTGTGTATGACTTGCAGTCTCTCAAGTTTAATGCAGAAATAAATAGACCTGCTGGTCAGAAAGAAAATTTGCATATGTGCACCATGATCCTATAATCTGTGGAAAGAAAAAAGAGAGGAGAGGGGCACCTGGGTGGCTCAACAGGTTAAGCGTCTGACTCTTGGTTTCTGCTCAGATCATGATCTCAGGGTCATGAGACTGAGCCCCGAGTAGGGCTCTGTGTTGGGCATGGAGCCTGCTTACTCCCTCCCTCTCCCTCTGTCCCTCCCCACTGCTCATCCCTCTCTCTCTCTTAAAAAAAAAAACAAACAAAACAAAACAAAAAAAACCCCCAAGAAAATAGAGAGAAGAGAATCCATTATAAATGTGGATTGCAAAAAAGGAGGTAGTTAAAGGGCCCTAGGTGTGCCCACCTGCCACTCATTGCGTTAGTCTGAACCTGAGTTGCAGTATCTGGGCAAAGAGGAAGGTACAATTACACCTGCACTGCTCTCTGGAGAAGTCCTAGCAAAGAGGTATGAGGCCAACCTTCTGGGCACAAGGAACATGAATCCAGCACCTCCACCTGAGAAAACAGAAAAAAAGTTGCCATATCTCACCAAATCTGATCCCATTTTGACTGAAAGCAGAGATCCTTCTGACAAGGCTCAGAGGATGAGAACGCCAAGGACACTAGCAATGGAGGAGAGATCATGCACATTTGGACATGCTGATTTCCCTTAGCAATGTGGCCAGCCTGACACAGCCTGATGGTCATGGGAGCAGAATAATACTGGAGCACTAACATGATAGATTCTGTAGAAAAGCGAAAGTGCTCTGTCTAGCAAAGTACTTTCCCTGGTTGGTAGGACACATAGAAATAATACTAGCTTCCAATCACAGAAGTCTTATGCACAGGTCCACCTATCATTCAGCAGGTCCTGGCAACCTTGAGGTTGGGCTGATAATTAGATGCTTTCAAAGGACAGCAGGAAGAATTTTCTAAATTTTCTTTATTTGCTGCTTTTCAAACTACAAAAATGAAATAAGCATGCTTAAACATGTGAACAAATGATGTCCTTAATTTGGTAACATTCTGGCTACTTCTTCCACATCTCACTCCTTACATACATATATTCACATATATAAAGAGTGTGTTGGTTTATTTACCTCAAATAGAATCATGCTCTAATATTCCTAGAAATAGTTTTTTGGAACTTGACCACAGACATCTCTGAACACCAGTAGTTTTGGGGGGGCAACTGCATTTACCATTAGATTATGATAATTCAAGTATCACTGAGTGACTGCCACCTTCACAGGTGTGTCATGGTGATAAAAAAGAAAAAATGTAGTCATGCTGTTTCCTCCATATCCTGGGACCCTAGCTTCACTCTCTGTGTAGTTTTTTCCTTCTCTAGCAACTTTCTAGTTCCTTTATGAAGACCAAAAAGCCCTAATGAACCTTCCCCACTCTACATTTCCCAAAGCATTTATTAGGGGGAACAACAAAAAAAGATAAACTCATTCATTCACTCTCAGTTGCAAATGATTGATAAGGATTAGTGTGCAACCTTTTTCTATGACAGCTGTGTTTTCATAAACACCAAATCCCTGTTTGAATAACTCCTAACAATGAAGTTCTAATTGTGCAGTGCCAGGAACTGGCAAGCCTAGAAGTGGATGGCAGACTGGGACAGAGTAAAGTCACCTTCTAATCCCTAGAACCACACAAACCAGGTGACAAAGTACAAACACATATTCTTGCTTTTATTTTGGTCAATTATGTAACCTCTTGCACATTTTTAAGTTGATGTAATTTTTAAAAATTAAATTAAAAGGATGCATTGTTGGTCTGTGGAGAATATTCAGATTTTAAAATTAAAGTGTCACAATATTCATAAATATATATATATTCAATAAAATATAAATGCAATATTGATTTGATTATCTAGTTTCAAATTCATGAACAAGCTTTTCTTTATTAGTCATAAAATGTGCATTGTTCTTTTTTAAAACTTTAACTTGTGTTTCCAACATATGTCCTCTGCAAGATTTTATCTTGTTGTAGTATTTCATGCTTGGAAATCTTTTATTGATCAGTTATCATATTTATTTGCAAATATACAGAGAATGATTGAAATTGAGATTCCTTTTATGTTCTGTGACCATAAAGCTCAGAGTAATACTATGTTCTTTTAGAATGAGTTATCATTACAATTATAATTAAACAGATAAAGTTTTACAGGAAATATAGTACTTAATGGGGTAGATGAAACTTTTTAAAATTATACCTTGAATAAATATCATTACTGCTAGAATGAGATAGAGCTCAGGACCAATTCAATTCCTATTTTTGTTTGAGAAAAACCTAGCTCACATAAGCAAGGGAGAATCTTGTATAGCAGTGCCACTCAATTCTTTGAACCCCTTCCAAGATGTGTGCCAACAATCACATAGTAATACAGCTTCAAAAATTATTTTAATGATCTCACAGCTGACAATTCAATTAGTTCCTCCTTCAATTTCTTTCAAAGCAATGAATTGAAAAATACCTGACTTGCAAAGGGCTTTGTAACTCAGTATTAAATTCATGCAATTTCACAATATCTGGATAGTATGCTGCTAACATTTTACCAGGCCTTGTCAAATGACTATTAAAGATATGTTTCTCTTTTACTTAGAAGCACCTTGTTCAACCCAATACACCCAGAAAGGTGGATAAATTTGAATGCTGTTTATTTTAATATGCCAAATCACATTGTCCTCTGCCAGAAAATGCCTCTTTCTCTAATTCCAAGATAGAGAAGGCATCGCTTTGCCATGAATTTATTACTGATAAAATGATGTACCATTACCTTCATTATGTCTCTGCTTACTTTGGTGGGGCTTCCTTCAAAAGGGACCCTTTTTTTTTTTTTTTTACAATAGTTGGATGGTGTAAATGACAACAAAAGTAAAGGTAAATTCTTTCCTGGACAACTTATAAAGTGGGAACCGTCAGAAAGGAGAACCAGAATTACAATTCAATCTTAGGCACTTTCTCAGGCAGACTGATTTAGGAAATCTGAAATTCTGAATGTATTCTCTTAAAACTTTCATCGTGCTTGTATAAGACCTACACCTGCAGGTTGGAGTGCATGGAACTCAGTTTGAAACCAGGGGATTTTGCAGGGACTGACTTTAAAACAGGTCAGTCAGAATCTATCCTCCAGAGGCAAAACATACTCTCAGTGCTCTGCCACACGGCCCTTGAAAAGCCTTGTGTACTCCTTGGGTAGACATACCCCAGACAGATGTCTATGGCCCAATTTACCTGCTCTCAAACCTGGGCCTCATTAGTGGGCATAGGGGGTAACTGGATAAATCTATCTCTCTGAATGGGAGAGAGCAGGTTCATTGAGTCTGTATAGTTCTAGAACCTAAAGAATGATAAAGACACTTGTGAGAATAATGATATTGGTTGAGGGAAAAGAAGGAAACATAACAAAGAATAGTAGGAAGAAGAATTCAGAGAAGAACTTTTAAAAAGTGCTTAAGTGTTCTTCCAAACCTGGCTCCTTCCCTGCTGTTTATGGCTGTGTTGGACTCTTATTAACCAGAAGCACACAAAGGAGAAATTTTTATGTTAAATAAGGGCATCCAGGAAGAAAGTCAAGAAACACTAGTGACAACTTTCTAATTTCTTGAAAACACTTTTAGGTCTCTAAAATTCTTACTTTTAAGCAAATTCTACCTAGTGGTCCTTGATAAGATAGAACTCATTACAACTCTACAGTAATGTCTAAAATTACATAGTACTTATAGTTACTTAGGACAGTTTAAGAACTTTCCATATATTAAATCACCTGATGCTCATAACTACCCTTCGAGACACACTCTATTATTATCACACTTTACAGATCAGGAAACTGAGATGCAGAGAGGCTCAGGACTCCGAACAGCTGGTACAACCAGAGCAGGGAATTTAGACCTGGGCAACCTGGTGCAGAATTCCCACACTTAAGGATTATGGTCTTCTGCTTGAAAAGAAGGTGGTTGTGGCTCAAGAATCCAAGTAATAAGACCAGGGGGAGTTGGTTGGCATTATCCAATCAGTTTCCCACAAATTTATGGTAGTTTGTATTTAATTTTCTCATAAAAGACAAAATAGCTTAGGAGAACAGGAAAGA